TATTCATAATTTTTGGCCATTGGAACTCAAAGTTTGGAAGCAAAGACAAAGGATCAGTAGCTGAAAAACATGGCCATGATTATATAAACAGTGCAGGTGATTGCATGATAGAATTTTGCAAGATCAATGAGCTCTTCAATGCAAATATCTTTTTAAAACAACATAAAAGATGAATATACATTTGGACCTCACTAGATGGAATACACAGAAATCAAACTGACTACATGTGTGGAAAGATATGGTAGAAAAGCTCCATATCATCAGACAAAGCAAGGCCAGGGACAAATTTTGTAACATACCATCAATTGTTCATGTGCAAGTTCAGGCTAAAGCTAAAGAAAATTAAACCAAGCCCACAAGAAGCAAAATGTGACCTTAAATTTATCCCACCTGAATTTAGAGATCATCTGGAGAACAGAATTGATGCATTAGACACTACTGACAAAAGACCAGAAGAGTTGTGTGATGATGTCAAGAATATCATACAGGAAGAAAGCAAAAGGTCATTGAGAAGTTAAGAAAGAAGGAAAAGACCAAGATGGATGTCAGAAGAAATTATGAAATGTGGTCTTCAGTGTAGAGATACTAAAGCAAATGGAAGAACTGAGGAAGAACAAGAACTGAACAGAAAATTTCAAAAGTCAGCTGGAGAAGACTAAACCAAATATTATAATGACATGTGCAAAGACCTGGAGTTAGAAAACCAAAACGGATGAACATACTCAGCATTTTTCGAGTGAATTGAAGAAAAAATTCAAACCTCAGCTTAGAGTATTGAAGGACTCTATGGACAAATACTGAGAGATGCAGAAAACATCAAAAGACGATGGAAGGAATACACAGAGTCACTGTAACAAAACGAAATGGTTGATGTTTAAACATTTCAAGAGGTAGCATATGATCGAGAGTCAATGATCCTGAAGGAAGACGTCCAAGGTGCACTGAAGTCATGGACAAAGAACAAGGCACCGGGAATTGGTGGAATATAATATGAAATCATTCAACACACTGGATGTGGCACTGCAGGCACTCACACATCTATGCCAAGACATTTGGAAGACAACTACCTGGCCAACTGACAGGAAGCAACGTGTACGTGTCCATTCCGAAGAGAGGGGACAAAAGGGAATGCGGAAATCATCAGCAATGTCATTGATACCCACGTGAGAAAAGTTTTTAAGTTAATACAAGAACAGCTGCAAACATACATTAAAAGAGAACTTCCAGAGGTGCAAACCAGATTCAGAAGAGGATGTCGAACAAGGGAGATCATTGCTGATGTCATATGGATCTTGGCTGAAATCAGAGAATACCAGAAAGATGTTTACATGTGCTTTATTGACTATGCAAAGGCTTTTGATTGTGTGGATCAAGACAAGCTATGGACAATGTTAACACTACGCAGAATGAGTATTCCAGAACACCGAGGAACATGAGGTAGCTGTTCAAATAGAGCAAGGAAACACAAAATGGTTTGAAATTGGAAAGGTGTGTAGCACAGTTGTATTCTTCCACCATATTTAATCAGCGTGCATGATGAGCACATAATACAAGATGCTGGATATTATGATGAAAAAGTGGCATCAAGATTGGAAGAAGGCTCATTAACAACCTGGGATATCTGCAGATGATACAATCTTGCTTGCTGAAAAGGTAGAGGACTTAGGACTTAAAATACTTGCTGATTAACCTCAAGGACCACAGCCTTCAGTACGAGTTATATCTCAATGTAAAAAAAGCAAAAATCATCACCAATGGACCAATAATCAAAATTCTTATCAACAGAGACAAGGTTGAAGTTGTAAAAGACTTCATTTTCTCAGCTCAACCATCAACACTCATGAAAGCAGCAGTCAAGAAATCACATGGTGTATTGCATTGGGCATATTTGCTGTACAAGGCCTCTTTAAGGTGTTGAAGAGCAAAGATATCAGTTTAAACACTTAAGGCGTGCCTGACCCAAGCCATGATATTTTCAATAACCTCGAGTTGGACAGAAGAATTGATGCATTTGAGTTACGGTGTTAGAGGAAAATACTAAAAGTACCATGGACTCCCAAAAGAACAGAGATCTGTGTTGGAAGAAGTATAGCCAGAGTGCACCTTGGAAGTCATGATAGCCAGATTTTGTCTCTCATATTGTTCATATAGTTAGAAGGGATCTGTCTCTGGAGAAGGATATCATGTATGGTAAAGCAGAGGGTTAGAGAAAAAGAAGAAGAGCCCAGATGAACTGGCAGAGTGGCAGCAAAAATGGGCTCAAACGTAATGATTGTGAGGTTGGCCCAAGACCAGACATTGTTTAGTTCTGTTGTGCATAGGGTTGCTGTAAATTGATACCAACTCAATGGCAGCTAACAACAACTAGTCAGAACCAACTCAAAGGCACTTAACAACAACAACAATATTTAGCAATGTTGTTTATTTTATAGGAATTCATATATGCTTTCTTTTCTTATACATCTCTGTCCAACAACTATAATCAATCAAATTAGGTCTCAAAAGCAGACTTACAAATATATTAGATGTTCCTGAAAGGTATGACAAGACCATTTTTCAAATACACTCATTATTTAAAAACAACAACAACAAAAATTTCAGATTATTTAAGAACAACAAAAGTGAAAAACTTGTAAAATGTATTATGTGGATGATGTACCTGTAATAGACGGGTTTCATTTGTTTGAGTCTTCCTAGTGTGGCACTATGAGACCATTGCTGGACTGGAAACCATAAGGTCAGCAGTTCAAACCTACCAGCTGCTCCTCAGAAACCTATGTAGGGGTTGTCTATGAGTTGGAACCAACTCAATGGCCCTTAACAACAACAAAGCTAAAAAAAAAAAAAACAAAAAAAAAAAAAACAGTTGCCATGGGTTTGACTCTGGTTCATAGAGACACATGTATGCCAAAGCAGAACTGATTTCCAACCAGTTTTCAAAAAGCCAGGCCTTTGGGTGAGCTTTATTTTCCCACTTTTCTATTACCAGCCTAGTGTGTGAACCATTTGCATCATCCAGAAACTCTATCCTACAGATACATAAGCTCTAATCAGTCTAATGAGAAGACTTGGTTCCTCATCTCTTTTGTTGTGAAAGAAAATATTGACAAAATACAGTATTAAAAAGAATTGATTTTAGTTCCGTGCATTTAACTCATTTAGCTAACTAATCTGCAATTTTAATACCGAATACAGGTATATATCAGCATTCTTTTTTACCAAAACCAGTAAAATTAGGCAAGACCATCTTACTTTGCCAAAATGTACTGAAATTGTTATTATTTATATGCGTTTGTTGATTTAATTTCAGTGGACATTTTTAAAAGAAAATGTTAACACCCAAAAGGACGACTCCGGGTGCGGTGCTGTAGGATCAGCACTGGACTGCAAACCACAAGATGACAGTTCAAACCCACCAGCTATTCATTGGAAACCCTATACAGGATCTCAATGAGTCTGAACTGACTCAACAATACTTAAGAATAACAACAACAACAAAGTCACATAATCATTTTCATGCATTTTTTTCTAAATCTCCCTGTATTTACATGGCATTTGCAGGTTGTACCAATAAAGTATTCTTATCATTTACTCTCCTGGTATGGCATTGTAGGATCAGCACTGGACTGTGAATGACAAGGTTGGCAGTTCAAACTCACTGGTCGTACTTCAGTAACCCTATAAAAGGTCACTATGAGTTGGAACTGATTTGAAGACACTTAACAACATTTATTTACACTAACGTACCTTACGCATAGGAGCTCTGGTAGCACAATGAGTTACGAGCTAGTTAGCAGTCTGAATTTGACAGCCACTCAAAAGAAGGTTTTCTGCTCCCGTCTGGAGTCCTGGTGTGGTACTGTGCATTAATGCGCCAGACTGCAAAGCCGTTTGAACTACAAGGTCAGTGGTTCAGGCTCACCAGTCGCTCCTTGGAAATCCCTATACAGGGTCGCTATGTGTCGGAACTGACTCGACAGCACTTAACAACAACAACAACGATTTACAGCCTTGAAACCCTACACAGAATTGCTATGAGTAGGAACCGACTCCATGGCACACAACCACCACCACCTTACACATACATATGTTTTTTAATGTGTGAATTCCATCTACGGTATTGATCAAATTCTGCCTTGAGTGCAAACTTGCACTAAAATAAACTTTCTTGTTACTATTCCATGAATAATAAATGAAAATCTATTATAATTTGAGGCTATCAACCAAATCTCAAAATTGTCTTTTTGTCTTAATAGTACATAGCTGTCTTCAACAACCTTTACAAAATCAGGGCTTCTTTCTTGGATAATAGGGCAAAAAAGGTGGGATCAAAGAATTTTATCTGAGAAAACATGTTCGTGTCTTCATCAAACATCTTTCAGGGGAATATTTTCACACCCATTGTAAATACAAAAGTCAAGGCAGTAGTCTCAAGTTGGTAAGGGGGACAGAATGAAATGGTAGTTTGGAGTCTTTCACATTTGGAAAACAAACTTTCCTGCCCTTCCCTTCCCTTTGCCTCTCTCTTTCTTTCACTCTCTTTTTCATTCTATTGGCTTTGCATGGCAATAACCTCATGGATATATGTTCTAAGTAAACCTATTCCCTAACAACAGTAAGAGTAAAGGTTCCCTTTGGGGAAGGACAAGGTTTATTATGTATGTGATAAGTATTAGGAGGGCACACTTTCAGGGACTGACAGTGTTCATATGATTATTTGCATTTCAGGCACACAGCTGTATGTTGTTGTTAAGTGCGTTGAATCAATACTGACTCATCGTAAACCTGTATAGGGTTTCTTTAAGAGCGATGGTAGGTTTGAATCACCTACCGTCTACTTAGCAGTCCAGTGCTTATGCTATAATATAGGACATAATTATGAAAAAAATTCATTCAGCTGTACTCTTCTAATTATTTCATTTTAAGCACTTTGTTGCATATATGGATTACCTCAATATTTAAAAAAGTGAAACAGTGTGGTAATAGCTGAAGAAATTTACCTATATCGAGGTAAAGGGTAACCATTAGCAGCACAGTTCAGGATGATTTCAGATTTGGATGAATCCAAAGGGAAAATGACATCTTGTGGTTCCTGAATAAAAACAGGACGGCTCAAGAGAACATCACCTGTGAAAAGAAAAGAACAGGACAACATGCATTTTAAAAAATATATTTTAAAACAGAAGTAAAAGAATGACATAAAAAATCATTTTTCTCAATCATGTGACAGTGTATAAAAAGATACTGTATCACTCCAAATAAATGAGTTCATATGACTTATACAAGGATACAATGTATTCTTCTACATTGTTGCTGTTGTTCAGTGCTGTTAAGTAAGTAATGACCCCTAGTAATCCTGTATAGATAGGGTTTCTGAGGAGCAGATGGTGAGTTTGAACCACCGACCTTGCAGCCCAGCACACTGGCCCACAGCACTATACCAGGACTCCATGGACTTCTGCATAGCCACAATAAAACCACAAACTTAAAGAAATTAATATTAATCCAATTGTTGTATGCCGTGGAGCGTTCCAACTCATAGCGACCCTGTATAGGGTCTCTGAGGCTGTAAATCATTATGGGAGCAGAAAGCCTCATCTTTCTCCACAGAGAAACTGATAGTTTTGAACTGGTGACCTTGAGGTTAGCAGCCTGACTCATAACCAGTATGCTGGCAGAGCTCTTTTAGCATCTAACTCTCTGATCTCATTTGTCCTAGATGCTAAGTCTTTATAGGGAAAGGATCCATTTGAAAATCAGAGTGGTATTTAATTGTTATGTCTTTTTATTCCATTTCTATTTGAAAAATTTCACCAGTCTTTCCTTAATTTTCCTGACTTTGACCTCTTTGAAGATTGTTATTGTTAGTGTTAAGTGCCATTGAGTGAGTTCCAACACATAGGGAAACTGTGTAGGGTTTCCAAGGATTTGAACTGTCAGTCTTGCAGTTATCAGCTCAGTACTTATCTGACAGGTCCCATGTATATGCATAGATTTATATATGTATGAGGAACAAGGGGATACTGTAGTATAAGCGCTGTACAGCCAACTCCAAGGTTGGCAGTTTGAACCTATCAGCCGCTTGCCAGAAAGATGAGGCTTTCTGTTTCTGCAAAGATGTACATCCTCCGGATCTGTATATGAGGTTGCTCTGAGTTGGAAGTGACTCCATGGAAATTAACAACAGCAACAACATATATATATACAGTTGCTGTTATGAAGTGCTGTGGAGTTGGTTCCAACCCACAAAGATCCTGTATAGGGTTTCCAAGGAGCAGGGGTGAATCTGAACTGCCAACCTTGTGGTCCAATGCTTTATCCCAGTGTCACACATTTAACGTCTAGCGTGGCACTGCATGAACTGCAGCGGACTGAGAACCACAAGGTCAGCAGTTCAAATGCATTAGCTGCTCCTCAGAAACCCTATAGAGTTCTGCTATGAGTCAGAACAGAATGGGTGGCACATAACAATAACAACAATTCTGACAAGAATCTTTACAGGTAAACCAATAAACAACATTATGGTAAATGAAGAAGAAATACAAGTTCTCAGTGACTTCATTCTACTTAAGTTAACAACCAATGTCCATAGAAGCAGTACAGAAGACATCAATTAATGTGCTTCTATGGGGGAATCTTCTGCAGAAGAACCCTGTGAAGTTTAAAGAGAAAAAATGTAACTTTGAGTACCAAGATGTGCCCCAAATTAGTTTAGAATAAATATAATCAGAATGCCTTTTAGAAGTGAGGATAGTGACATTGTGACTTACTCATAGTGTCCACACATCATCAGAAAAGACCAATCTACAGAAATGAGCATTGTGTTTGGTAATGTGGTGGGTCAGCAAAAAAGAGGGAAATCTTCCATGAGGTGTACTGACACTTTACATAGCCTTAGCAATGGACTACAACATAAGGAAGATCATGTAGATGGAGCAGGATGTGAAAGTGTTTCATTGTGTTATACATAAGTCTGCCACGAGTTAGAGATGACATGGCAGCAATGAATAACAACAACATAAACTAACAAATCATCTACACATAGCTTCTCAAACAAAATGAAAGAAAAATATGAAAACATTCTGAAACAAGAAAAGAAAGAACCATGCCAAGCAAAAGATAGACAAAATACTCAGTCTAGAAGAAAGCATTATTTCAAAATTCCTAGGAAATTTCTTTAAAATGTTTCATGCTCTAGATTAAGAACATAAGCTTTGAACCATTAAAATAGCTCAATGACATGACAAAACAAACACAAACAAACCAAAATAAACACACACACACAAACAAAAAACATTGCAATAAGAAAAATTGGGAGGTTGCAAACTTAAGGATACAAACTGCAACCATCAATAGTATCAGTAAGGAAATAATCATTGAGAATAGGCATGGATATCCCCTGAAAGTGAAATTATTCATGTAAAGAGAAGATTGAATGTAATTAGTGCAGTTGAAAAAGACACAGATTATAAAGCAATTGGAAAAAAACTTAATAAATAAAAACTATAGAGATGACTCAACATAATTATCTTTGATATCCCTGAGGTAGAAAATCAAGCAAATGTTATCAGAAGACATTACCAGGAAAAATTCATGTAAATTTGTTAAGCAGTTAAAACAAGGAAGAGAAGTGGCCAAAGATCAAACACAAGGAACTCCAGATATGCTTCAACCAATCAGAAAGCCCAAATAGGAAGAAGTTTGGGAAAGGAACTTTCACAAGATGGAGCTGATACAAAGACGGACCAGAATTGACTGAGAGTGACTCAGGAGATAATCAGAAAATAAATGTAGTAAAACTCAGCACTGTGGTCAACTCATAAATACAATTGTAACAAAGTGAATTATGGGGGGAAATCATATAAGACCCAGGAAGGAGAAGTCAATTATGGGTCCCCAAATATGACTGATCATGGTAGAGATCAACAGATATATGCAAAGACCCTGTATATGCCCCTACAAAAAAACTACACAAAGTAAAACCAAGAGCACATTGGGGACTCTTCTCAAACATGAGGTAGCAGCCAGCTCTCACTTTTGGGAGAGCATCTATGGTTTAATAAATGTCCTTGCTTGTTCAAAACTCTGCCTCATTAGCTTCTCTCATAAGCACATTGTGTCCAGGCCCTATGCATTCCTCAGAGGAATAGTGGGATCAGATTAGCACACCTTATCCACATGGTAACACACTGAAAGGATACACTACATTCTTGGTCTATCAGTCTGTCCTACTGTGGTAGCTTACATGTTGATGTGATACTAGAAACTATGCCACCAATATATTAAATACCAGCAGAGTCACCCACAGTGGACAGGTTTTAGCTGAGCTTCCAGACTAAGACAGACTAGGAAGAAGGAGAGGCAGATTTTTTTCTGAATGTTTAGCCAAGGAAAACCTTAAAAATAGGAGTAAAACACTGTCGAAGTGCCCGAAGATGAGCCCTTCAGGTTGGAAGGCATTCAAAATACAACTGGGAAAGTGCTGCCTCCAAAAAGTTGAGCTGACCATAATGACATGTATCAAATAAAAGTTTTCAGAACCTTCATTTGCTGGTGGATACAGCTCAAAATGAGGAGAAATTGATGGAAACAACCATTAGTAATTACAACATAGAATGTAAAAAAGTATGAATCCAGGAAATTGGAATTCAACAAAAATGAAATGGAACAAATTGATGTGGACTGGTATTGGCCATTTTAAATTGGACATTCTAATGGTTTACTGTGCTAAGAGTAACAAATTGACGAGGAATGACATCACATTCATCATCAATTAAGAACATTTTGAGATCTGTCCTTAAGTGCAATGCTGTATATAACTGAATAATATCCATATGCCTATAAGGAAGGTTGGTTAATACAATCTTTATTCAAATTTATGCTCCAGCCACTAATGCCAATGATGATTAAATTGAAGATTTCTACCAACTTCTTTAGTCAGAAATTGATCAAACATGCAATCAAGATGTACTGATAATTTTTGGTGATCCAATGCAAAGGTTGGAGACAAAGAAGAAAGAGCAGTAGCTAGAAAATATGGTCTTGGTGATAGGAATGATGCTACAGATCACATGATCAAATTTTGCAGGACCAGTGACTTACTAAAATGCAAGTACCTTTTTTAAGGAACATTAAAGATGACTATACACATGGAACTCATCAAACAGAATACACAGAAATAAAACTAACTATATCTGTAGAAAGGAGCTCTGGTAGCGTGGTGGTTACGAATCGGGCTGTGAACCTTAAGGTCAGCAGTTCGAAACTACCAGCTGTTCCACGGGAGAAAGATGAGGCTTTCTGCTCCAGTAAAGATTTACAGCCTCAGAAACCCTGTACAGGGTCGCTATGAGTTGGAACTGACTCCACGGCACATAGCAACAACAACAACAACGTATCTGTAGAAAGAGACCATGGAAAAGCTCCATGTAACCATCCAAAACAAGGTCAAGAACAAACTGTGGAACACACCATTAATTGCTCATGTGTAAGTTCAGGCTGAAGAAACAACCAATTGTTTGACTTCTTGGTAAATGTTAAGATTTTTTTTCATACTATAATCAAATGACTAAATAATAGATTCTATTCTTGCTTTTTGTATACTGTCAGAAGGCAAGGACATTGTTTTTATGTATAAAAACAGCTGAAGGTATGTGACAATGTGGTATCACAAACAAAAATCAAAATGCTTTTTCAAGGACTCTTGTTTTAAGAAGGCACTAACTGATAGGAAGTGTTTTAGTTTTCCGAGTTCCTGTAACAGTAAATGTTTAAATAATTGTATTGAAAGTATAAAATCTCCTCTGATTACAAGGCTACTCTGTTAAAACTGCCATAGTGGGTAGCAAGCAAGAACTTTGCAAAAGATCAACATTCTGAGTTTTGAATAACAATTAAAATCATTCCACTCAGTGTTACTGAAAATGTTTGTAGGATTTTGTCCTGCCTTTTTTTCTCACTTATATCAAATTCTTATTTTTTAAAATCCTATGATCTTTTATATTTGATCAAATCTACTGGTTTCTTGTCATTTTGGTTTCCCTCTCAGTTGAGAACTTTTTATTATATCTAAGCAGTCACATTTTGGTATTTCTGAACAGCTCATGTACCTCTTCATGGAAAATTAG